TATGTACGAGGAGGGGTCACATTCTGGGCCGGTCCTCCGATATATACGAGGAGGGGTCGCAGTCTGGGCTGGTCCTCTGATATGTACGAGGAGGGGTCGCAGTCTGGGCTGGTCCTGGGATGGCAGCATGATGCTGGTGAAGGTTTGTGTTGCCGGATTTCTCTGATTTCTGGTATATTCGGTTTTGGTCGGTGTTGGTCGGTGTTGGGTCGGTGTTGGCCGGTGTTGGTCGGTGTTGGCCGGTGTTGGCCGTGCTCCATGCTGCACCTTTGCTGTGTTTAAAGTGACATTTCAGCTGAGAAACGGAATACACGGTTGAATTACATATGAATGAGGCAGCGGAGGGGTGACTTATGGAGGTGTAATTAGTTGTACCGTCCTGGTGCATGGAGACCTCTGGGGGGGGGGGGGGGGGGGTTAACGGTCTGTACCGTCCTGGTGCATGGAGACCTCTGGGGGGGGGGGGGTAGGGGGTAATCATAACGGTCTGTACCGTCCTGGTGCATGGAGACCTCTGGGGGGGGGGGGTAACGGTCTGTACCGTCCTGGTGCATGGAGACCTCGGGGGCGGGGGGTAACGGTTAACGGGTCTGTACCGTCCTGGTGCATGGAGACCCTCGGGGGCGGGGGTTAACGGTCTGTACCGTCCTGGTGCATGGAGACCCCTGGGAGGTAACTGTCTGTACCATCCTGGTGCATGGAGACCTCTGGGGGGGGTAACGGTCTGTACCGTCCTGGTGCATGGAGACCTCTGGGGGGGTAACGGTCTGTACCGTCCTGGTGCATGGAGACCTCTGGGGGGGGGTCTGTACCGTCCTGGTGCATGGAGACCTCCTGGGGGGGTAACGGTCTGTACCGTCCTGGTGCATGGAGACCTCTGGGGGGTAACGGTCTGTACCGTCCTGGTGCCGACCTCTGGGGGGGTATGGTCTGTACCGTCCTGGTGCATGGAGACCTCTGGGGGGGTAACGGTCTGTACCGTCCTGGTGTATGGAGACCTCTGGGGGGGTAACGGTCTGTACCGTCCTGGTGCATGGAGACCTCTGGGGGTAACGGTCTGTACCGTCCTGGTGCATGGAGACCTCTGGGGGGGTAACGGTCTGTACCGTCCTGGTGCATGGAGACCTCTGGGGGGGTAACGGTCTGTACCGTCCTGGTGCATGGAGACCCTCTGGGGGGGTAAACGGTCTGTACCGTCCTGGTGCATGGAGACCTCTGGGGGGTAACGGTCTGTACCGTCCTGGTGTATGGAGACCTCTGGGGGGTAACGGTCTGTACCGTCCTGGTATGGAGACCTCTGGGGGGGGGTAACGGTCTGTACCGTCCTGGTGTATGGAGACCTCTGGGGGGGTAACGGTCTGTACCGTCCTGGTGTATGGAGACCTCTGGGGGGGGGTAACGGTCTGTACCGTCCTGGTGCATGGAGACCCCTGGGGGGGTAACGGTCTGTACCGTCCTGGTGCATGGAGACCCCTGGGGGGGTAACGGTCTGTACCGTCCTGGTGCATGGAGACCCCTGGGGGGGTAACGGTCTGTACCGTCCTGGTGCATGGAGACCCCTGGGGGGGTAACGGTCTGTACCGTCCTGGTGCATGGAGACCCCTGGGGGGGTAACGGTCTGTACCGTCCTGGTGCATGGAGACCCCTGGGGGGGTAACGGTCTGTACCGTCCTGGTGAATGGTGACTTCTGCAAGGCTAACTAGCTTTACTTTCTTGTTATATGGAGACCTCTGGAGGCATAACTGGCTGTACCCTTCTGGTGTATGGCACCTTGTAGAGGGGGTAACTAGTGACCGTCCTGGCGTATGGCACCTTGTAGAGGGGTAACTAGTGACCGTCCTGGCGTATGGCACCTTGTAGAGGGGTAACTAGTGACCGTCCTGGCGTATGGCACCTTGTAGAGGGGTAACTAGTGACCGTCCTGGTGTATGGCACCTTGTAGAGGGGTAACTAGTGACCGTCCTGGCGTATGGCACCTTGTAGAGGGGTAACTAGTGACCGTCCTGGCGTATGGCACCTTGTAGAGGGGTAACTAGTGACCGTCCTGGCGTATGGCACCTTGTAGAGGGGTAACTAGTGACCGTCCTGGCGTATGGCACCTTGTAGAGGGGTAACTAGTGACCGTCCTGGTGTATGGCACCTTGTAGAGGGGTAACTAGTGACCGTCCTGGCGTATGGCACCTTGTAGAGGGGTAACTAGTGACCGTCCTGGCGTATGGCACCTTGTAGAGGGGTAACTAGTGACCGTCCTGGCGTATGGCACCTTGTAGAGGGGTAACTAGTGACCGTCCTGGCGTATGGCACCTTGTAGAGGGGTAACTAGTGACCGTCCTGGCGTATGGCACCTTGTAGAGGGGTAACTAGTGACCGTCCTGGCGTATGGCACCTTGTAGAGGGGTAACTAGTGACCGTCCTGGCGTATGGCACCTTGTAGAGGGGTAACTAGTGACCGTCCTGGCGTATGGCACCTTGTAGAGGGGTAACTAGTGACCGTCCTGGCGTATGGCACCTTGTAGAGGGGTAACTAGTGACCGCCCTGGCGTATGGCACCTTGTAGAGGGGTAACTAGTGACCGTCCTGGCGTATGGCACCTTGTAGAGGGGTAACTAGTGACCGTCCTGGCGTATGGCACCTTGTAGAGGGGTAACTAGTGACCGTCCTGGCGTATGGCACCTTGTAGAGGGGTAACTAGTGACCGTCCTGGCGTATGGCACCTTGTAGAGGGGTAACTAGTGACCGTCCTGGCGTATGGCACCTTGTAGAGGGGTAACTAGTGACCGTCCTGGTGTACGGTGACACAGCCGGGTGGTGTTGTGGGTTCCAGGCCCGGTAGAACGCCTCAGGTGGGGAAGGGAGTCTCTTTCCTATTTGGGTAAAATTTCAGAACTGCGACTTGAGAGGAAACCACAGGCATTCGGCACACATTCCTCCCGTCCCGGATCTGCTGTGTGTGGCACGGAAGATGCTGACTGGCAGATCCGAGAACAAAGGATTGATGTACATTGCAGACAGAGAGATTTTCTTGTCTGTCTTCTCTATGAGTAGAGTGTCAGCTCTGCGGGTTCATGTGTCACTCTTTGTTGATAATGAGGAGATGTGACCCCCGCAGTGTGACTAGTGGGGGGCTAATTACAGGGACCGGTGACAAGTGTCCCATACCAGAGCTGCAGAAGACATCCTAGGTGGGGAGAGGTGTCTCCTGTGCTTCCCGTCCTCCCCCCTCCTGACACATTCCTGTACTCAGAAAACCTGCCTGTAACCTCCCCCTCCCTCTCCATTATATGTATTCTTCATGGAGCTCTCCTGATACCTCCCCCCCCCCCCCCCCCCACCTTCTATTGTATCCTGGCATTACTGTACAGATTTTCTTTCTTCCTTTTTTTTTTTTTTAACTCTTAAAGATTTCATGTTTGTATTGTGTATTCACCTTCAGTTGTCACTCAGTGCGCCATCACAGGAGGAACTGATATACAAATCACTCCTATTGGTCATATTTTAGTAGCAGAACATATTTATACTGAAGATAATATAAAACCCATACGCCTGTCTACTGTGCTGTCCTGCCTCTCCTCCTCTCCTCTGCTTCCCTTCCACCAGCCCAATGTCTGCTCTACATCCTCCTGCCTTCCTGAGGTCTTTTCTCCGTCTTCCCACCTGCCCAGTGTCTTTCTTCTGCCACCTACCTGGGGTCTCTCCTCTTCCCACCCTGCTGCCTGCCTGGAATCTCTCATCTACATCCTCCTGCCTGCTCTCTGCTCTGTCCACCCCTTGCCTGGCCGGGGTCTCTGCTCCTCTCTGGCCGGGGTCTCCTCCTCTGCCTGGCCGGGGTCTCTGCTCCTCTCCTGCCTGGCCGGGGTCTCTGCTCCTCTCCTGCCTGGCCGGGGTCTCTGCTCCTCTCCTGCCTGGCCGGGGTCTCTGCTCCTCTCCTGCCTGGCCGGGGTCTCTGCTCCTCTCCTGCCTGGCCGGGGTCTCTGCTCCTCTCCTGCCTGGCCGGGGTCTCTGCTCCTCTGGCCGGGGTCTCTGCTCTCTCCTGCCCTGGCCGGGGTCTCTGCTCCTCTCCTGCTGGCCTCTCTGCTCCTCTCCTGCCTGGCCGGGGTCCTCCCCCCCCCCCCCCTTACCCCCCCCCCCCCCCCACCCCCCCCCCCCCCCCCCCCCCGGCGTCTCTGCTCCCCTTTTTGCCTGTCCGGCGTCTCTGCTCCCCTTTTTGCCTGTCCGGCGTCTCTGCTCCCCTTTTTGCCTGTCCGGCGTCTCTGCTCCCCTTTTTGCCTGTCCGGCGTCTCTGCTCCCCTTTTTGCCTGTCCGGCGTCTCTGCTCCCCTTTTTGCCTGTCCGGCGTCTCTGCTCCCCCCTTTTTGCCTGTCCGGCGTCTCTGCTCCCCTTTTTGCCTGTCCGGCGTCTCTGCTCCCCTTTTTGCCTGTCCGGCGTCTCTGCTCCCCTTTTTGCCTGTCCGGCGTCTCTGCTCCCCTTTTTTTTTGCCTGTCCGGGTCGTCTCTGCTCCCCTTTTTGCCTGTCCCGGCGTCTCTGCTCCCCTTTTTGCCTGTCCCGGCGTCTCTGCTCCCCTTTTTGCCTGTCCCGGCGTCTCTGCTCCCCTTTTTGCCTGTCCCGGCGTCTCTCCCCTTTTTGCCTGTCCCTTTTTTTTTGCCTGTCCCGGCGTCTCTGCTCCCCTTTTTGCCTGTCCCGGCGTCTCTGCTCCCCTTTTTGCCTGTCGAGCTTCTCTGCTCTGTCCACCGCCTGCCTGAGATCTTTTCCTTGTCTTCCCATCTTCTCGCCTGCCTATCATGTCACCTCCACCTCTCTCCTGCTTGCCTGGCATCTCTCCTCTGCACCCCCATCCTGCTTGCCTGGCATCTCTCTGCTCCTGCTTTTCTGCCACCTGCCAGTCAATGAGGCTTGGCTTGAAGTGTATATATTGGTGGAGGGGCTTTGTCAGGCAACATCAGGTCAGTGTTGGGACAATATGTCGCTGTGACTGTATTGACTGTCTTTGTTTCCCTCTCCAGCCGTCAGTACGAGGGCCGCCATCATATTCAGCAAGCAGCCATCATCTCAGGATGCTTTAAATGGAAGAAGTGCCTTTCTGCGCTGCGAGGTGGAGGACCCCTCCGGAGTACAGTTTGAATGGTTCCACAATGGAGCCCCCTTAATAGACACCGAGCGGCGATACCACGAGGGGGGCAGTCTGACAATCACAGCTGTGGACAGGAAACTGGATGGCGGGAGCTTCCAATGCGTGGCGAAAAATCCAAGTACGGGAGAGGAAGCGCACAGCGTCAATGCTTCTTTCAATATTAAATGTGAGTACCAGATCGATGACCATAAAAACGGTACAAATGCCACCAAACATTGTAGGAGCAAATTGGATCGTGCTTTGCTGGGTTTTTTTTGCCTTCCTCTGGATCAACTGTGGGTGTAGGATTATAACTTTTGTTTTTTTTTTAATGGTTGAACTGGATGGATTTTTGTCTTTTTTAAGCCAGATTAACTACACTATGTGACAAACCTGAATCAGTCGGATCAGCATGTGGATGGACTGGTGCAAGACAAACAGGATTGGCTTGGCAGGCTCCAGTAGACTTCAACAAAATGGCAGCCATCTGCGGTCTGCCTAGAGGCCTCTATGATTAAGCTCTGAAAAGGGAGAAAGGTGTCTGAGGAGTTCTTTACAGGTGGAGAAAACAGGAGCTAAAGCCACCTTTTTGACTCATTTCATTCCCATTTATGCAACAGGGAGTCTGTGTCTGTATGTAGATGGCCACCATTTTGTTGAAGTCTACTAGAGCGATGGCTGGCCTTCAGGGTGCCCTGGACAGATGTTTTGTGGTGTTTCTAATAACAAGAACATGTTAGTGACCCTTATTCTGTGGGGTAGGGGGACAGAGCTTCCATTAACCCCGCATTTTGTTTTTTGTAGGGATCGAGAGTGGAGCTGTGTCCTTGCAGAACCCAAGCAGCATTGCTGATATTCAAAACCTATCACCAGTCACTCTACGTTGTCACATTGATGGGCACCCACGGTAAGGAAGACGCTGCTTGCAATGGTGTTGTGTGAACGTGGCTCCCCCCATTGCTGACCCTTTGGTCCAGAGCGGCTCCCCCCATTGCTGACCCTTTGGTCCAGAGCGGCTCCCCCCCATTGCTGACCCTTTGGTCCAGAGCGGCTCCCCCCATTGCTGACACTCTTGTTTCCGAGCGGCTCCCCCCATTGCTGACCCTTTGGTCCAGAGCGGCTCCCCCCCATTGCTGACCCTTTGGTCCGGAGCGGCTCCCCCCTTGCTGACCCTTTGGTCCGGAGGGGCTCCCCCCATTGCTGACCCTTTGGTCCGGAGCGGCTCCCCCCATTGCTGACCCTTTGGTCCGGAGCGGCTCCCCCCATTGCTGACCCTTTGGTCCGGAGCGGCTCCCCCCATTGCGGACCCTTTGGTCCGGAGCGGCTCCCCCCCCATTGCGGACCCTTTGGTCCGGAGCGGCTCCCCCCATTGCGGACCCTTTGGTCCGGAGCGGCTCCTCCCCCCATTGCGGACCCTTTGGTCCGGAGCGGCTCCCCCCATTGCGGACCCTTTGGTCCGGAGCGGCTCCCCCCATTGCGGACCCTTTGGTCCGGAGCGGCTCCCCCCATTGCGGACCCTTTGGTCCGGAGCGGCTCCCCCAAATGCGGACCCTTTGGTCCGGAGCGGCTCCCCCCATTGCGGACCCTTTGGTCCGGAGTGGCTCCATCTAATCATTTTCCATCACAGAGATACCCAGTTAAAGTGGAACTAAAGGCAAGGGGGGGAGGAAGGGGGTGGGGGGAATGGAACCTGGCATTGGTTCTGGCTGGATGAGGTTGGTTCTCAATGGAAAGAATTGGCCCTGGCAGTACTTACTACTTTGTGTTTTTTTTGTTTTTTTTTTATATATATATATTTCTTCCAACAGTCCGCTATGTCAGTGGTACCGAGATGTGACGTCACTGGCAGATGATGGGCAGTCCCATTCCATTAATAACAAGGAGCGCACTCTGACCATACACAGCGCGGGGCCCGATGACAGCGGAGAGTATTACTGCTGTGCGAACAACGCGGCCGGAGCCGTCTGCAGCAACCATAACTTCACACTGAATATAATCGGTGAGACCTTCCTGTGCATGTGCTATGTCCACCCAGAACTGAAATCCAGCCGGTGATCTATTTGGAAAACTTAATATTTCTTTGTTTACTTGGTGTACCCCATTACCCCCCCAACCCTGAGGGTACAAGGGGAATATTATACACTTCTACTCTTTTAATGTATTTACAGCCAGAATGAACCATTTGGAAACTTGGGCACTGCCCAAGGGCCCGGGGTCAGTAGGGGGCCCCATGAGATGCCCCTGGTACCTTTTTCATAGGCTTTTTTGAGTTTGGGCAAGGACACAGGGGCCCCATAATCTCCTATTGCCCAGGGGCCCCATGAGTTGTCCGTCCCTGGTGCCTACAACAACCAATCAGGCATTACAAGATCAGGTCCAATCTAATGTAATTTCAGTCTAACGCAGGCTGTAGACAAGTTGAAAAACAAAAGTTTTTGTCGATTGAAAATGGCTCATACGATTGTGCCATCCATTGTTTTTTCGATTTTCTAAAAAAATAAAAATACAGCAGCATGTTGGATCCGGCACTTTCGCTTGCGGCATAAAAATTGCACGTTGCAGCTGGCACACTAAATGATGCGAAAAACGAACGATTGACACAAATTTTGTTCATTTTTTCGACTCGTCAATGGCCTGCTTTAGCCTAGGTTCACATCTGTGCGGTTTGCACTGGCGCGGCAGAACATTTATTTGAATGGGCTGCCATGCCTTTTGAAACGCAGGGAAAAGGCCCCTGCACTCGTTTGGAATCGCAGCCCCCACGGGAACGCAAGTACAGTGTGGTTCCCAGTGCAGGTGCTATTTCCAGTGTGGGCAGTGCGCCATTAGGACTAATTCCACTCGCTCGCAGCTCCTGCGTTTTCTCTGTGTGGGTAGTTGCGACTGCAGGAAAAGGTGCCGTTCCCTCACCGGTGACTACCCACACAGGTGTGAACCTAGCCTTAGGGCCAGTCTGCATTCAGAACTGCATGTGCATCGTAAAGGAACGCTGTGCGGTTCCTACGCGATTCGCATGCAGTTCTGTGAAGTGCGATTTCAGCTCATTCATTCTGAATGGACTGAAATTGCACCCCAGCGCACCAAAAGTAGCGCATGCAGTTCTTTTGAAAACCATACTGCAACCGGATTGCATGGTACTGCATTTGCGACCTGCGTTTGGGGTGTCATGAACTTATTAACACGCGCTGCAGATCGCAACTGGAGTGTGTTTTAAATGCAGTGCGGGAAAGTCGCACAGAAAGCGGGTTTCCCGCACAGTGTCCTGGTGTGAATCGGCCCTTGACTGACAGCTTCCCCAGCCCCTCCCCTCAGTTTCCTGATTTATTGCTGACTTGATAAAGGAACACAGTGGCTAAATGGTTAGCACTTCCGCCTGGCAGTACTCTGGTCGCTGGTTCAAATCCCAACCATGGCACCACCTGCCTGGAGTTTCTATGTTCTCCCTGTGCCTACGTGGGTTTCCTCCGGGTACTCCAGTTTCCTCCCACACTCCAAAGACATGCTGGTAGGTTAGTTGGCTCCTGTCTAAATTGTCCCTAGTATGTGTATGTATGAATGTGAGTTAGGGACCTTAGATTGTACTCCCCTTGAGGGTTAGGGACCGACGTGAATGTACAATATATATTTTACGGCACTATATAAGTACCTGAAATAAATAAAACTTTTACAAAATGTATACAAATAAAGGAATCTGTTACAAATTGACATTTCTAGGATCCAGTGGGTGGTGAAGGTGGGAGGGGATATATTTGCTTGGATGGGATAAGTGAGTAGATTTGGTGGGGGGGGAGTCACCCATCAATTTTATTTTATATTTATATATATATATATATATATATGAGAGATTTGATCATGCATGGGGTCTGCTGGAGGCTATGATGGATGTGATGAGTGTAGATCTCAATCAGTCAGTCTCTGATCTCCGATTGAGGCTGCGTCAGGGCCATTTTCATACTCCTCCTGCAGTACTGATCCTCCAGCATCTTTTCCTTTTTCAGATGAAAGTTCCCCTCAGGCTGAGATCATCCCTGAAGATCAGATTGTCAATAAGAATGAAGATGCCATCTTCCACTGTAAATTCACCGCAGTGCCGCCTCCTGTACTGGAGTGGTTCTTCAAAGACAACAGCTCACTGGTGAACAGAAATCGGTGAGGGGAAAAGCTGCCGCATTGCATTGGGGTTTGGGACAATATTAGTAGAGGGAGGTCAAAGGGAGATGGAAAGCTCTCACCAGCTGTATGGCTGTGTGTGTGCCAGTATACAGTGTTAATCGTCCTCTTCAATGGAGAATTGTGTATGGCCTGTAGGACTCATCAGTGGAGAATTGTATGCAGCTCATATGATCGCCTGGCCTGGGCGGGTCCAGACGGGGAACGGGCGGGCCTGGCCGGGGCGGTCCAGACGGGGAACGGGCGGGCCTGGCCGGGGGCGGTCCAGACGGGGAACGGGCGGGCCTGGCCGGGGCGGGGGCCAGACGGGGGAACGGGCGGGGGCCTGGCCGGGGCGGTCCAGACGGGGGAACGGGCGGGCCTGGCCGGGGGCGGTCCAGACGGGGAACGGGCGGGCCTGGCCGGGGCGGTCCAGACGGGGAACGGGCGGGCCTGGCCGCGGGGCGGTCCAGACGGGGGAAGGGCGGGTCTGGCCTGGCCGGGGGGGGCCAGACGGGGAACGGGCGGGCCTGGCCGGGGCGGTCCCACGGGCGGGCCTGGCCGGGGAACCACAGTCCAGACGGGGGAACGGGCGGGCCTGGCTCCCGGTCCAGACGGGGGAACGGGCGGAGCCTGGCCGGGGCGGTCCAGACGGGGGGCCGGGTCGGTCATCACGGGGGAACGGGCGGGCCTGGCCGGGGCGGTCCAGACGGGGGAAGGGCGGGCCTTAGGACGGTCCAGACGGGGTAACGCTTCGGGCCTGGCAGGGGCGTCCAGACGGGGGAAAACGGGCGGGCTGGCCTAGAAGGCGGTCCAGATTGGGGGATTGAACGGGCCCTGGGCCTGCCGGGGCGGGAGTTGGGGGAACGGGCGGGCCTGTCCGGGGCGTCTCCAGACCGGGGCCGGGCGGTCCAGACGGGGGAACGGGCGGGGCCTGGCCGGGGCGGTCCAGACGGGGGAACGGGCGGGCCTGGCCGGGGCGGTCCAGACGGGGGAACGGGCGGGCCTGGCCGGGGGGTCAGGACAACGGGGCAGTCACGGGCGGGCCTGGCCGGGGCGGTCCAGACGGGGGAACGGGCGGGTAATCTGGCCGGGGCGGACCAACGGGGGCTCCATGAGAGGGGGGCCTGGCCGGGGCGGTCCAGACGGGGGACGGGCGGGCCTGGCCGGGGCGGTCCAGACGGGGGAACGGGCGGGCCGGGCCGGGGCGGTCCAGACGGGGGAACGGGCGGGCCTGGCCGGGGCGGTCCAGACGGGGGAACGGGCGGGCCGGCCGGGGCGGTCCAGACGGGGGAACGGGCGGGCCGGGCCGGGGCGGTCCAGACGGGGGAACGGGCGGGCCGGGCCGGGGCGGTCCAGACGGGGGAACGGGCTATGAATCCGGGCCGGGGCGGTCCAGACGGGGGAACGGGCGGGCCTGGCCGGGGCGGGAGGGGTGTGTCTGGCCTTGGGGAGGGGGGGGGCCAGACAGGAACGGTTGCTCCCCTGTAAACCCATCATGGTAATGTTTGAACCACAGGCCACTTTATAGTGTCCATTCTCCCGGGTCAGTGACAGCAAAGACGTTTATCAGCATTTATAGCCATTCTCCTGGAGTCCCTGTCTCATCACAATATAAGCTGGGCAGAGTTCTTCATTGAAGCAGAAAGTGTTTAGGACTTCAGAGAAGGTAGCTTCTACTTCCAGAACCTGTCCCTTCACAAACACAGGCAGCTCTCTAGAAGGAGGTTATTGGAATTGAACAGTTGTGCCGCCCTGTCTCTCCCTGCGTGGTGTGTAACCAGCATCCTTTGTTGTATCCCTCGTCTCCCTGTAGGATCACCGTCTTCCAGAATGGCTCCCTTCACATCAGTTCTGTCGGTGTGCGTAATACCGGCACCTACCGCTGCGTGGGGACAGGACAACGGGGCAAGCAGCTCACTCTGCAAGCAAAGCTTAGCCTGGCCAGTAAGATCTAATCCACAAGATGAGACGCTGTAATCTTCTCTCCAGTCCGTCAGCAAGGAGTGTAATGAGAGATTGTTTTTCTTGCAGAAATCGAGGACATGCGCCCCTTGTCTCCCCGGATTCTCACCGCCGGCTCATTGCACCACGTCATCTGCAGGCAGCCAGACGGACTGCCGACACCTACTGTGTGGTGGACGAGGAGTGGGCAACGTGTTCCGGAGCAGGGGAGGGTGTACCAGACTGGCTATGAATTGGTTTTCAGTCCCATAATGGAGGAGGATACTGGGGTGTACACATGCCACGCTGCAAACAAGGCTGGCGAGAGACAACAGGATCTGGAAATCACTGTGGCAAGTAAGAGTAGAATCCGGCCTTCAGGTCGTTACACTTTAACCACTTGATCTCCTGTAGATCTTGCCCACTTCATGGATAGACCATTTTTTCGCTATTCAGCACTGTGCTACTTTAACTGGTAATTGTGCGGACATGCAACATTGTACCAAAAATACATTTTTATAAAAAAAATTTCACTCAAGCAGAGCTTGCTTTTGTTGGTATTTGATCACCACTGCGCGTTTTTTAAAAAAATAGACCGCAATTTTGCTGATAAAAATTTTTTTTCTCTTTTTTCTTATAAAACATTCATATCCATACATTGTACATTTTTCCTTTTTAGATTTACTAAAATCATATAATAGGAAGTCAAACCTGAACACTTTCAATTTGTATGCAGTCAGGCAGGCCCTTGCACTACATCGTTGAAGGTAAATCTAAAAGAAATGAAACAAGAAATTTGTATAATGTACAGCCAGCTTTACTGACACTGACCTCAATAGCGACACTAATACTGTACACTGGCTGGGAAGGGGTTAACATCTACGGGTAAGCAAAGGGTCAGCTGTGCTACTTTTACTTTACTAGCTGTCTGTTTCTTCTCCCTGCTTTTCAGGGAGAAGAAACAGCCAGATCTCTGTTTCCTGTACACAAAGTTCTGTGTTTTTGTAAACACAGAACTCAGTGTGTTGATTGGACACAGCCGATCAGCTGACCTTCAGCCAAGATCAATGGTTGAAATCAGCTGCCAAACTAATGCTATGTCCAATCACAGTATGTGTTAGCAAGGGGCGCATTCCTAAATGAACCTGGAAGAAAGGCCTGATGTAGTTGTACAGGTACATGATTGGGCCTGCACCTGCCACTCTCCTACAGTATATTTATTGTGAGCGGTCGGCAGGTGGCTAACCATTTCTTTCTAGGCAGTACCAACACAGCTTCTTGTCCATCTCCTGGCAGGATCAACACAGCCCCTTACCCTACACCTGTCTCCCAGCAGCACCAGCATAGTCCCTTGCTCTTCAGCCGCCTCCTCCCGGCAGCACCAGCACAGTCCCTTGCTCTTCAGCCGCCTCCCGGCAGCACCAGCACAGTCCCTTGCTCTTCTGCCGCCTCCTCCCGGCAGCACCAGCACAGTCCCTTGCTCTTCAGCCGCCTCCCGGCAGCACCAGCACAGTCCCTTGCTCTTCAGCCGCCTCCCGGCAGCACCAGCACAGTCCCTTGCTCTTCAGCCGCCTCCCGGCAGCACCAGCACAGTCCCTTGCTCTTCAGCCGCCTCCCGGCAGCACCAGCACAGTCCCTTGCTCTTCAGCCGCCTCCCGGCAGCACCAGCACAGTCCCTTGCTCTTCAGCCGCCTCCCGGCAGCACCAGCACAGTCCCTTGCTCTTCAGCCGCCTCCCGGCAGCACCAGCACAGTCCCTTGCTCTTCAGCCGCCTCCCGGCAGCACCAGCACAGTCCCTTGCTCTTCAGCCGCCTCCCGGCAGCACCAGCACAGTCCCTTGCTCTTCAGCCGCCTCCCGGCAGCACCAGCACAGTCCCTTGCTCTTCAGCCGCCTCCCGGCAGCACCAGCACAGTCCCTTGCTCTTCAGCCGCCTCCCGGCAGCACCAGCACAGTCCCTTGCTCTTCAGCCGCCTCCCGGCAGCACCAGCACAGTCCCTTGCTCTTCAGCCGCCTCCCGGCAGCCCAGCACAGTCCCTTGCTCTTCAGCTCCTCCCGGCAGCCCAGCCTCCCTTGCTCTTCAGCCGCCTCCCGGCAGCACCAGCACAGTCCCTTGCTCTTCAGCCGCCTCCCGGCAGCACCAGCACAGTCCCTTGCTCTTCAGCCGCCTCCCGGCAGCACCAGCACAGTCCCTTGCTCTTCAGCCGCCTCCCGGCAGCACCAGCACAGTCCCTTGCTCTTCAGCCGCCTCCCGGCAGCACCAGCACAGTCCCTTGCTCTTCAGCCGCCTCCCGGCAGCACCAGCACAGTCCCTTGCTCTTCAGCCGCCTCCCGGCAGCACCAGCCCTTGCTCTTCAGCCGCCTCCCTTTGCTCTTCAGCCGCCTCCCGGCAGCACCAGCACAGTCCCTTGCTCTTCAGCCGCCTCCCGGCAGCACCAGCACAGTCCCTTGCTCTTCAGCCGCCTCCCGGCAGCACCAGCACAGTCCCTTGCTCTTCAGCCGCCTCCCGGCAGCACCAGCACAGTCCCTTGCTCTTCAGCCGCCTCCCGGCAGCACCAGCACAGTCCCTTGCTCTTCAGCCGCCTCCCGGCAGCACCAGCACAGTCCCTTGCTCTTCAGCCGCCTCCCGGCAGCACCAGCACAGTCCCTTGCTCTTCAGCCGCCTCCCGGCAGCACCAACACTGCCCATTGACCTGTACCTATCTCCCAGCTGCGCCCACACAGCCCTCTGCCAGGGCCGTGGATAATGGGGTACCACCAGTCCTCCTGTAGGGCAGGAGGGCCTGGGCAGGTGAGTGACTTGGATGTGGGCAGAGTGGGTGACCGGCACAGCACGGTGGGCAATTACAGCCAGCTGGCTTCTACTCTCCGGCTGGCTTTCAGCAGCAGTAGAGACCCATACAGGGGATCTATCCCACTAATTGCCCAACCCCCCCCCAAACACACATCACCCTCCCTGTGCAAATACAGTTCCCCCTGCTGCCTAGGCCCCTCACCTTTGCAGTGCTGCTGGCTTCCCCCCTCTCCAACCCACCAGTAGCTGCAATAGGATCCTTCAGGATTGTAAGTGGGGGAAGGGTTCAGTAGATGTGTCATATTTGCAAGCCCCTTCCTTTCCTGAATGATCACAATGTGTGATTGGTTCCTGTCGCTCACTGTGTTCATTCATAACTGAAGCATAGTAAACTGTTTTTTTTTTTTTTTTTTTTGGGGGAAGGGGGCCCTGTCAAGTTGGCTGTATGGGGCCCCGTGGTTTCTAACAGCAGCCCTGCACTTGTCCGCCATGCTTTTACCCTACAGCTATTTATTTGCCATTCACCTGATTCCCTGATATTTTGTAGCTGTAACTCTCTGAATAGTTTAATATAGTCAAAAAGTCTCATGAGCAATAAAATACACCCTACCGAAAATGATCTGTATAACTAACAAAAGCCGCTTACACTAACCACATACTCATCACCGTGTACACAATTGTGAGATATGAAAATAAAGTGCAGAGCGAACTACCAATCAACTAAACTACAGAAAGCAACAATATCACAATTGACGTGAAATAAATTCTACAATTGACGTTCAATGCATCCAAGTGAACATGCACTTAACCACTTCCAGTCCGGACACTTTCCCCCCCCCTTCCTGTCCAGGTCCATTTTCAGCTTTCAGCACTATCACACTTTGAATGACAATTGCGCGGTCATGCAACACTGTACCCATATGAATTTTTTAGCATTTTTTTGAGACAGATAAAGCTTTTTTTTGGTGGTATTTATTCACTGCTGGGATTTTTATTTTTTTTTGCTATGTAAATGAATTTTGAAAAATGTTTTTTTCTTATAAAACTTTGCAAATAAATAATATCATAAATCTTGGCCAAAATGTATTCCGTTATCTTTTTAGTAAAAAAAAAAAAAAATAACCCAAATTAGTTTATAACCAAAAATAATAATTTTTAAACTTTTTTTACATTTTTATTTTATACTATTTTATTTTTTACATACTGTCACCCTAGCAGTACCGTGTCACCATGGTGACACTGTACTACTTGTGGGGGGTGATGAAGACTTTTATTTTTATTTATTTTTTTACACTGATTGCTTTTACACCCATAAAGGCTGTAAAAGCAATCATTTCTCCTCTCTGGCTGCATTTTTGCAGCCATTGAGAACTACTGTGTGAACTGTGATTGATTGGTCACAGCTTGTCACATGGTACAAGGCTGTTGTGAATGGCCCTGTACTATGTGATCTCTGTGATCATTCACAGATTTCACATGTAGTAAGCAATGATATCAGAAGTGACATCTTACTTACTACTCTGCATGTGATCACTGGTTGGCCAATCAGTGATCACATGATTGGGACCTCGCAGAGAGGTCGCATACGACAATCGGTGTTCCAATGTGTCTGTAGGACACCGCGGGCACCGGATTGCGGTGCTGCTCTCTCCCAGGGAGTGTGCACAAGCAGGGTGCGGGGAGGCCGTTTATAAACAGCCACCCTGCCCTGCACTGCCGCCGTCCGGCCGTTTATATACAAGGGCCGGACGGGAAGTGATTAAAGTCTCTGCACAGTGATATCTTCCCAAATCGGTGATCTTCATAAAACTAAACCCTCCACCATGGATCACCAGAAGTGCCCTCACCTGGATAATCTGACCGCACACTTGGATGCATTGAACGTCAACTGTAGAATTTATTTCACTTTAATTGTGTTATTGTTGCTTTTTGACGCTTTTTTAAGTTATTGGTAGTTAGCTTTGCACGGTATTTTTAGATTTCTCTGAATAGTTTGTTCTCACCAGGGGCGGACTGACCATTTGGAAACTAGGGCACTGCCCGAGGGCCCGGGGTCAGTAGGGGGCCCCATGAGATACCCCTGGTACCTTTTTCATAGGCTTTTTTGAGTTTGGGCAAGGACACAGGGGCCCCATGATCCCCTATTGCCCGGGGGCCCCATGAGTTGTCAGTCCGCCCCTGTTCTCACCTTTTATTATTCCCAATCCTCCAACGCAGAACTCGCACGTATACTCTACTCCTATTGGCCTCTGGATTTAGCGGTGTTCTGGTGTCATTGCAGCAATTCCTGTGTGGGTGGAGATGCCTCGGGACACAGGGATGGATGAAGGGAAGTCTGGATTCTTACACTGCCTCAGTACAGCATCTCTGGAGCCGAGCGTCACCTGGTATCGGAACGGATTTCCTATTTCCTCGGTCAGTGAGTGTTGATCTGGAGTTGGGCATCAGCGTGATCCTGTCTGCCCTGTTCTTACCCAACCTCTTCTGTCATAGGATTCCCGATTCCATATCTTCCAGAATGGAACACTGAAAATCCTGAATGTGGAGGTGTATGATGGGACCGTGTACAAGTGTATGAGCAGCACGCCGGCTGGCAGCATTGATGCTTCAGCTCGAGTCGCTGTACAAGGTGAGTGCGCCCAGCAGTCTTGGGTATAGAAAGGATGCTCTGGATCCAGTACTGCCAAAATTTCAGAGTGGAGCTCATGTTTTAGAGCATAAACTCCTTTTGAGCAAAGAGGAGCAGGATGAGCACTTCCAGAGCCCTACAAAATGACCTCCAGCAGGCCACTGGTGTGACTGTCTCTGACCAATCAGAAACAGACCTCATGAGGGGGGCCTGAGGGCCCGACGTCCTCTAGTGGGCCCTGTGCTCACTGCCCGACACCATAGAGCTGGATTGAAATTTGCCATTGAACCCCAGAATTGGCAGGTCCACCACTGGCCCCCTGTGCTTTTCACAGATGAGAGCAGGTTCACCCTGAGCACATGTGACAGACATGAAAGGGTCTGGAGAAGCCGTGGAGAACGTTCTGCTGCCTGTAACATGGTTCAGCATGACTGTTTTGGTGGTAGGTCAGTGATGGTCTGGGGAGGCAAATCCATGGAGGGACACACAGACCTCTACAGGCTAGACAATGGCACCCTGACTGCCATTAGGTATCGGGATGAAATCCTTTGACCCATTGTCAGACCCTACGCTGGTGTAGAGGGTCCTGGGTTCCTCCTGGTGCAGTGGGTCCTGGGTTCCTCCTGGTGCAGTGGGTCCTGGGTTCCTCCTGGTGCAGTGGTTCCTGGGTTCCTCCTGGTGCAGTGGTTCCTGGGTTCCTCCTGGTGCAGTGGGTCCTGGGTTCCTCCTGGTGCAGGGGGTCCTGGGTTCCTCCTGGTGCAGTGGGTCCTGGGTTCCTCCTGGTGCAGTGGGTCCTGGGTTCCTCCTGGTGCAGGGGATCCTGGGTTCCTCCTGGTGCAGGGGGTCCTGGGTTCCTCCTGGTGCAGGGGGTCCTGGGTTCCTCCTGGTGCAGGGGGGTCCTGGGTTCCTCCTCCTGGTGCAGGCGGTCCTGGGTTCCTGGTGCAGGGGGTCCTGGGTTCCTCCTGGTGCACGACAATGCCTGGTCTCATGTGAGGAGAGTATGCAGGCAGTTCCTGGAGGATGAAGGAATTGATACCACTGAATGGCCCCCACGCTCGCCTGACCTAAATCCAATAGAACCCCTCTGGGATGTCATGTTTCGGTCCATCCGACGCTGCCAGGTTGCGCCTCAGACTGTCCAGGAGCTCAGTGATGCCCTGGTCCAGATCTGGGAGGAAATCCCCCAGGACACCATCCGTGGTCTCATTAGGACCCTCCCCTGACGTTGTCAGGCATGCATACAAGCACGTGGGGGCCATGCAATCTACTGAGGACCATTCTGAGTTGCTGCAATGAATTTTCAGCCAAATGGACTCGCCTGCTGCATTATTTTTTCACTTTGATTTTTGGGGTTCTTTGAATTCAGTCCTCTGTAGGTCGATCATTTTCATTTCCATCCAATGATGGGCCATCCTTACCTTCCTCACACATCACCCCGTCCATGTCAGTATAGAGATCTGGCAGGAGATTTGTCCCCATTGAGATCTGATGGGTTTTCAAAGTGTTCCTTTATCTTGTTTTGAGCCGTGTACTTACCTGGGTAGGATTGTTGGAGGTCTTTAACCTGATCCGGGTTTGATACTTATTACAGAGAACCTGAAGTTCACTCCGCCCCCTCAGTCTCAGTGCTTGGAGCTGGATAAAGAGGGGACTGTCCAATGTTCTGCAAAGGGGCGAGAGAAACCCACAATCCACTGGATGAGAGCAGGTGAGTGCAACTCCATGTCATTCTTACTTCAGACAGAAAAATTTGCCTTTTGTTTTTTCCTTGGAGGCAACTAACACAAGTCTGATCCTCTTCTGGCAGATGGAAGTAACTTACCTCCTCATGTGGGTTCTGAGGCCGGTCTTCTGCGCTTTCACCGCGTCACCCGTAGTGATGCTGGAAATTACACCTGTATTGCTTCTAACAGCCAGCAGGGGGAGATAAAAACCACGGTGCAACTTTCAGTGGCAGGTAAGGCTCCATTCACAGGCATTCATGCAACTTTGGATGGGTGCGACTTGTCCCTTTTGCAAAATCAGACCCACTGTTGCATGGAACATATTCAGGTATGACTCTCATGCAACTTTTTGATGGTTAAAGGATAAGTTCACCTTTGGAAACATGTTACATGTTCCACCTGTTTTTAGGGAACATGTTCCCATAGTTGCAGCCACGCCCACTGCACCCCCTCAATCTGAGAGATAATATGGGGAGAAGTTTTCCTATGTCAGATTTGAAAACAGCATAGCCGTTCAGGGCTCCGCCCACACAGTCGCTTCATTCATTCACAGACTTCCGTGAATGAATGAACTGAAAGTCCCCACAGCCTTAGCGGGTGTGGGCTTGTAGTTTTCAATGAACTACCATGGCGCTGTGGAGGGCCGGGGTAGTTCATTGAAGTTTTCTGTCAGAATATCTGCTTGGCTGTACATCCCGTACACCTTGTACATCCCGTACACCTTGTACATCCCGTACACCTTGTACATCCCGTACACTTTGTACATCCCGTACACTTTGTACATCCCGTACACTTTGTACATCCCGTACACTTTGTACATCCCGTACACCTTGTACATCCCGTACACTTTGTACATCCCGTACGGCAAGCAAATATTCTGACAGGTCTACAGGAGACTTGCATGACAGCAGCGATCAACTGATCACTGGAGCAATGCTTTCCAGGCTCCTTTGGACAAAAATATGCACATTTTTTTTTTTTACCTGCAAAAAAAATGTGCATTTATTATTTTTGTCCAAGATGTGGCCCTCAGGTTGCATGAAAGTCGGACCAAAATAATGCATGAACTACTTTGAAGTCGCTGCAACTTTAAAGTGTTACTAAACCCTGGACCCTGCATTCACTATATCCGCTCTCCCCGGACCCCGCATTCACTATATCCGCTCTCCCAGGACCCTGCATTCACTATATCCGCTCTCCCCGGACCCCGCATTCACTATATCCGCTCTCCCCGGACCCTGCATTCACTATATCCGCTCTCCCCGGACCCCGCATTCACTATATCCGCTCTCCCCGGACCCACTGTATCCGCTCTCCCCGGACCCCGCCTCACTGTACCCTCTCCCCGGGCCCCGCATTCACTGTATCCGCTCTCCCCGGACCCCGCATTCACTGTATCCGGTCTCCCCGGGCCCCGCATTCACTGTATCCACTCTCCCCGGGCCCCGCATTCCCTGTAGCCGCTCTCCCGGGCCCCGCATTCCCTGTAGCCGCTCTCCCGGGCCCCGCATTCCCTGTAGCCGCTCTCCCCCGGGCCCCGCATTCCCTGTAGCCGCTCTCCCCGGGCCCCGCCTTCCCTGTAGCCGCTCTCCCCGGGCCCCGCCTTCCCTGTAGCCGCTCTCCCCGGGCCCCGCCTTCCCTGTAGCCGCTCTCCCCGGGCCCCGCCTTCCCTGTAGCCGCTCCCCGGGCCCCGCCTTCCCTGTAGCCGCTCTCCCCGGGCCCCGCCTTCCCTGTAGCCGCTCTCCCCGGGCCCCCGCCTTCCCTGTAGCCGCTCTCCCCGCCCCGCCTCCCTGTAGCCGCTCTCCCGGGCCCCGCCTTCCCTGTAGCCGCTCTCCCCGGGCCCCGCCTTCCCTGTAGCCGCCCCCCGGGCCCCGCCTTCCCTGTAGCCGCTCTCCCCGGGCCCCGCCTTCCCTGTAGCCGCTCTCCCCCCCGGGCCCCGCCTTCCCTGTAGCCGCTCTCCCCGGGCCCCGCCTTCCCGCCGCTCTCCCGGGCCCCGCCTTCCCTGTAGCCGCTCTCCCCGGGCCCCCCGCCTTCCCTGTAGCCGCTCTCCCCGGGCCCCGCCTTCCCTGTAGCCGCTCTCCCCGGGCCCCGCCTTCCCTGTAGCCGCTCTCCCCGGGCCCCGCCTTCCCTGTAGCCGCTCTCCCCGGGCCCCGCCTTCCCTGTAGCCGCTCTCCCCGGGCCCCGCCTTCCCTGTAGCCGCTCTCCCCCGGGCCCCGCCTTCCCTGTAGCCGCTCTCCCCGGGCCCCGCCTTCCCTGTAGCCGCTCTCCCGGGCCCGCCTTCCCTGTAGCCGCTCTCCCCGGGGCCCGCCTTCCCTGTAGCCGCTCTCCCCGGGCCCCGCCTTCCCTGTAGCCGCTCTCCCCGGGGCCCCGCCTTCCCTGTAGCCGCTCTCCCCGGGCCCGCCTTCCCTGTAGCCGCTCTCCCCGGGGCCCGCCTTCCCTGTAGCCGCTCTCCCCGGACCCTGCGGGCGCTGTATCTGGTCTCCCACAGTACACACAACATGGCAATTCAAATATTTTTAGTAAATACTAACTGCTAAATACCTTTTCTCATCAGCAGTTAGAGCAGTCTTGTGACTTCTGTTAGTGTCCAGCAGAGCACATGTTAAATCTTGTATAAGGAGTTTTCATTCTGCTCTAGGAGGATGCAGGTTCCCTGACCTCTGTTTGATCAGTGCTGATTGGTCATGTGCTGATCACATGCACTCTCCCAAGAAATAAAAAACCTCTAGCAATACACACCAAAACTGAGCATGTGCAGGGTGTCTCCTAGGGCACTGTGCTATCAGCAGATATATTGGGGGACAATAGAAGAAGGGGAGGATCAGAGAAGACAGGATCAAACACCATTTTTAAACAATGCGGAGGATTAACCCCTAGGTTCCACAGTGAGTATAGCAAGCATGCTTTACTGCATCTACAGACTGATTGTACTGCTGGGGGTTTAGTAACACTTTTAAGTTGCACAAATATAGATTGTAAGATATAGATACAGGGCCCTCCATTCCCTCTTGTATTGAACTGTATTGTTGCTGTATTGTCTCCCTTTATATTGTAAAGCGCTGAGCAAACTGTTGGCGCCATAAATCCTGTATAATAATAATAATATATATAAATCCTGTATAATAATAATAATATATATAAATCCTGTATAATAATAGTCTATGAATGGTTATCATTGGAAAACATGGGTACGACTTGTCATGCTACTTGGATGTCCAAAGTCGCAATGACACGTCGCACAAGTGTGAATGGGGTCTAAATTGTGGTTGACGACCGTGACGTTTTGATTGCTATTATGAATGGGGTCATAATAAATCCAATTTCTGTTTTTTCCTATAATTTTTCTGATGACTTTCCTGTAATTTCCTACAATTATCTTTACTATATTTTGTATTACTGTTATTAATATTTTATTAGTATTTACACTGCAAAGTAGGGAAGCAGTTAGAAGCCCTGCAGGTTAACCAGCTTCCATCTTGTCTGGGTGTAACTACTGAGCTTCTTTAGGACAAGAACTTCTATATAATTATGTAGAATATATACATATTACGTGCGGGCCGCCTCCGCTGCTCCCTGCCCTGTTCGGCACACAGCACGCTACCTGTTTTTTAATGTATGTAGGTATGTACATCTGTCAGCACAAGGGAGCTCCGAGCTGCCGTGTGCAGACAGATGCTGCGTAGTGTACTTGGTGTTCTGCCATGGCAGTGGCTCCTGGTTTTCTGCGATGGAGCAGATAAAATGTGGCTCCAGCACAGGATATTATTTATTGCAGGTACTTGTACAGCACTGTCAATTTACGCAGTGCTTTACATTATATATATATATATATATATATATATATATATATATATATTACATTTACATCAGTCCCTAACCCTCAAGGGGTGTACAATCTAAGGTCCCTAACTTACATTCATACATACACATACTAGGGCCAATTTAGACCAATTAACCTACCAGCATGTCTGGAGTGTGGGAGGAAACTGGAGTACCTAGAAGAAACCCGCACAGGGAGAAAATGAAAACTCCAGGCAGGTGGTGCCGTGGTTGGGATTTAAACCAACAACCCTAGTACTGCCAGGCGGAAGTGATAACCATTTAGTCTTTGTGCTTTCACACTGATCTGCTTTTATTATTTATTTATTACAGGTACTTGTATAGCACCATTGATTTAGGCAGCTTTACATATATATTGTACATTCACATCAGTCCCTAACCCTCAAGGGGCGTACAATCTAAGGTCCCTAACTCACATTCATACATACACATACTAGGGACAATTTAGACAGGAGCCAATTCACCTACCAGCATGTCTTTGGAGTGTGGGAGGAAACTGGAGTATCCGGAGGAATCCCACGGAGTCACAGGGAGAACATGCAAACTCCAGGCAGGTGGTGCCGTGGTTGGGATTCGAACCAATGACCCTAGTACATAGAAAGCAGGCACCAGATGGGTAAATAAGCAAGATCACCATCCAAGTGATGGTACAACTGAGTACTGCCCTAGTGACACTTTGTTTATCATGCAGTCGTTGACTTTTACATAGTTTATATCCTTGCTCATAGATATTTGATTGTATAAAATATTTATAGCTGAGCCACTAGAAGTTGGAAGAAGAATATATGTGGTTTCCCCCCAATAAACTCCAAAAATAAATTCTGTGCTGGGGAGAATGTATCAAGATAAATCTGCTAACGCCTAATTTGTGCTACTAAATTTACCAAAACCTATAAACATGATCGTGTAGCAATCAGGGTGGACTGACAACTCATGGGGCCCCCGGGCAATAGGGGGTCATGGGGCCCCTGTGTCCTTACCCAAACTGAAAAAAGCCTATGAAAAAGATACCAGGGGCATCTCATGGGGCCCCCTACTGACCCCGGGCCCTCGGGCTGTGCCCGAGTTTCCAAATGGTCAGTCCGCCCCTGTGTGCGACTACACTGTAAAAGTCACACGATTTCAAAGTCAGGGGACGTGCCGATTTCAGGTGTGACTTGTAAGATATCTGACACAGATGTCTTTGGAAATCTCACCAAGAGTAGTGCATGGACTACTTTAGAAGTCGGTGCGTCTCTGACCAGGTTGGAACCGCACCAATATGACCGCTGAATATGAATATGAAGCTGTACGCTTGCGGACAGTAGGGTGCGAAATCGCATGCAAATCGCACTCAGACCGGGTGCCGTTGACCGTTTTTTATACTAAATCATCCACAATACTCCGTAAGAGGCCTGCAGCTTTATTTTCTCACGTGGTGTCGCCATGAATATTGAGGATGAGTGGAACGCTGGATGGTGAAGGTTTTGGTAGAAATGTTTGAGCACCTAATACCACATTCCAACCCTCGTCCAGTATAGATCTAATAGCACATTTCACCATTTATTCTTCAATGGTTCACATTATTTAAGAAGTTCACAGTTTCTCTGTTTGCATGTTGGAGTAGGAACACGGGTGCATGGTGGAATTTTGACACTGGAAGAAAAATGTAGTTATATTGGAAGATTTATATGGTTTTGGACCATTTGCTTATATTGAGATAATTTTATTAACCTCCCTGGCGGTATTCCCGAGTGTAGCTCGGGGTAAAGTTTCAGCACCACAAGCGGTAACCCTGAGCTACACTCTGGAATACACTGCAGCATTGCTCCGGGATCTCTTCTTCACTTACCTTGTCCTGCGCTCCCGCAATGTCCCCCCTGCAGTGTCCCCGGCAATGTCCTCCAGCCGATGCCGGCATCTGTCTTCCGGGTTCCGTTCCTTGCAACGTCGGTATAGAACTGGCGGGAAATTTAAAAATGTGAAAACGTGACATTCACTAAATACACTAAAATCTCATAGTATAACTTTCCTGTATCAAACCATTTCACATACATTGTGTCCCGAGTGCTTTGTCCGGCGCCCTGCCTGCATTTTTACTGTTCTTTCTGCCTGGAAACTGAGAAACATCCATGGCGTCCAAAAAGCGTCCCTTTAGGTCAGACGCGGTTTTAGACCGGCTAGAGAACAGCGATAGTAAATCAGAACCACTTGCAGAATTGAGTGATAATGATTCGTGGGGGAAATTCCTCATCAGACACTGAAAACGATTCTGCGACTTTGCTCAGTGATGTGCGAACTTGGCGCTATATTTCACATTTCAGTGTTTTTGGTTTGATTATATTATTGAATTAAATTTATTATTATTATTATTAATATTTTTTATGATTATTTATTATATTATAATTTATGATTTTGTGTTTCAAATTTTTTCCTACCCGGGATGTTTACTAGACTCTTGTTCGGACAGATTTCAGTGAGTTATTCCTAAGAATTACAGGCCTACAATAAAAAAATACATATTTCCATGCAAAAAAATGTACCGCTTTGAGCACAGAAATACTGACATCAGACCGCTAGGGAGGTTAATGTGTGGCACAATTGCACAAATTTTATATATTATTTACTAATGGGTTTATGTATGACATTTTTTGGCACTATTTCCCCCAATAAGCTGGTGGGGAGAGATCAACACAACGTCGGTCTCCCCTTCCTTCTGATTTAAATGAGGACTAAGAGTCCAGTGATTATCTGCTCCTGTCCTAATTAATCATTCTAGCTAGCTCTGGAATGTGCGCACACTGGAAGAGACTCACGCTGACACACATAAGTTCAGTCTATGAACACTTCTCGTTTAATATAATGAGAAAGTGAGCTTATATATGCAAAATGACGCAAGAGTCATGTGAGCGCTGCATAAGCATTATATTAGTCTTGGATTCACGAAAACAACCTTTTTCAGAGTATAGGCGTGATCTTGGCCGATGTCTTATCTATAGAAAGAAAAACATTCCTTTGTCTTCAAATCCATACGATGGGAGGGGGTTGGTGAGCAGACATTTCTTGAGTAAGGATTTCTTAAAGTACCACAAAGCCCAGCAGGCAGAAAATATACACACAACATATATATATATATATATATATATATATATATATATATATATATATATATATATATATATATATATATATATATATTATATATATGTGTTTTCATACAAAACATTTAGAAATATAAAAATATAAAAGTAGATATGTATAAAATGTATAGAAATCTGTATATATTCAACAAGAAACCAAATAGGCATTTTACCATATCCATCACACTTCCTCCATAGGCCCGAAGGCAAAATGTTGGACGTGGCTACAGAAACCCAAGTCCTTTCCTTCTCAGAGTTGAAGCTGAAGGACATGGTTTCTTAATGCAGATTTAGAACTGAATAAAAGTTGGCCATGGAGAAGACTAGATAGGTTGTCATTTCTTTGGTGTCCCTCCTCAGCCATATCTGCCTCTAGTTTGATGATCAGGATGTAGTTGTATCTCTGGATGGTGGTGTTATATAACTATTTCTTGCCTTTAGTCTACATCAGCTTCCAAATTGTTCCGGAGAACACCACAGTCTACCGGGGAAATGCCGCGATTCTGCACTGCCAGGCCACTGCTGAACCTCTTCCGCAAATTCATTGGCGAGGACGTGATGGCTTGTTAGATGGCAGCAAACCAAATCAGAGGTGAGTGAGACGGTCCAGAGAGAGGACGCTTCTTTAACCAGAATGGATCTCTCCATCAATCCTTTGTTCTCTTCTAATCCTTCGTGCTACACTCTTCAGTCTTCAAAGGGTACTTTAGATAGTTATCATAAGTTTGTTTTTTTTTTTGTTTTTTTTTACTTTTTTAGCCCATTGAGGGACACAGGAAATCCATCCTTATCCACTTAATCCATAGGGTTATACAGCCGCCTACAGGAAGGACTGGACACTGGCAAACCAAAGAAGCTGTAGGCCAGTCCAGGATAGCTCCACTACTCCTAGCGTGCCACCGTTTTCTGCTAGTGTCTTGGGAGAGGACATGGTCTTCAGCTCTCCTGGGAAAAGACTAATCATTTTTTTAAATTTAATTTTGCTAGCACTATTTCATCATCGTCTGTTGATTGAAACGGGGATTCATAAACGGGTTAAACTGACACCGACAGGGAGAGGGGACACTGAACAATTGTAGGCCAGTAAAGTATAACCCTTCCTACTACCAGCATGACTGGTTTTCTGCTATGTGCTAGGAAGTTGGATGACTTTTCTTTAGCTCTGCTGAACAGAAGTCTACCCAATTTTTTTTTTTTTTTTTTTTTTTTTTTCTCATAACCTAATGGTTTTACTTAGTGTTCCTAAACCCCCCACAGTACAATCAGTCTGTAGATGCAGTGAAGCATGCTTAGTATACTCACTGTGGAACCTAAGGGGTTAATCCTCTGCATTGTGTAAAAAGGCCATTTGATCCTGTCTTCTCTGATCCTCCTCTTGTTCAAATGTCCACATCTTATTTCCTGATAAGACAGACTGAACCGTAGCCATATTGCACATTCTCAGTTTAGTGTGTATTGCTAGCGAGGTTTTTTTTTTTTTTTTTCTATCATTCAAGAGTGCATGTGATCAGCACAGGGCCAATCAGCGCTGTCCAGAGAGAGATCAGGGGTTTTTTCATCCTAGAGCAGAAAGAAAACTCCTCCTACAAGCTTTAACTAGTGCTCTGCTGGACACTGATAGAAGTCACAAGACCGCTCTATACTGCTGATGTGAAAAGGTATCTAGCAGTTTATATTTACTAAAATAATTGCATTTCCATGTTTTGCACTGTGGGAGCCTAGATATAGTGACTGCAGGGTCCGGGGAGACCGGATATAGTGAATGCGGGCTCCGGGGAGACCGGATATAGTGTCTGCGGGGTCCGGGGAGACCGGATATAGTGAATGCGGGGTCCGGGGAGACCGGATCTAGTGAATGCGGGGTCTGGGGAGACCGGATCTAGTGAATGCGGGGTCCGGGGAGACCGGATCTAGTGAATGCGGGGTCCGGGGAGACCGGATCTAGTGAATGCGGGGTCCGGGGAGAGCGGATCTAGTGAATGCGGGGTCCGGGGGGGACCGGATCTAGTGAATGCGGGGTCCGGGGGGACCGGATCTAGTGAATGCGGGGTCCGGGGGCGGAACTAGTGAATGCGGGGTCCGGGGGGAGCGGAACTAGTGAATGCGGGGTCCGGGGTTTATTAACACTTTAAAAAGGAATCTTGATTCCCCGGAGAGTAAAAAAAAAAAAAAAATTCAATGCTACAGCTAAAATCTTAAACAGCTGCTTGATCTGGGCACTGAGCTGCTCCTCAAGACTTAGACTGGGAGGGAATATTGGCATTGATGAACACAACACAGAAACGGGAGTTCTTCAAAAAGACGTGGTATACTAGGACAGAGGGGTGGCGGTGGACGTGGTATACTTGGATTTTGCAAAAGCGGTTGACACAGTTCCCATACATGGCTAATGTGTAAGGTAAAGTCTACATAATACATAAGGGGGGATATGATCTCCATGTATAATACATAAGGGGGGGATATGATCTCCATGTATAATACATAAGGGTGGATATGATCTCCATGTATAATACATAAGGGGGGATATGATCTCCATGTATAATACATAAGGGGGGGGGGATATGATCTCCATGTATAATACATAAGGGTGGATATGATCTCCATGTATAATACATAAGGGGGGATATGATCTCCATGTATAATACATAAGGGGGGATATGATCTCCATGTATAATACATAAGGGGGGATATGATCTCCATGTATAATACATAAGGGGGGATATGATCTCCATGTATAATACATAAGGGGGGATATGATCTCCATGTATAATACATAAGGGGGGATATGATCTCCATGTATAATACATAAGGGGGGGATATGATCTCCATGTATAATACATAAGGGGGGATATGATCTCCATGTATGATACATAAGGGGGAGGGGATTTAGTTTTTTGTATCAGCCAGACTAACTGTAACCACCATAGTAACTGTCTGGATTGGTGTTTCTATAGCATTCACGCTGGAAACTGTACCCAAACACCAATGGATTGGAAAATACCTGGAATGTGACCTTCGGGCAGTGGGCTTTGCTTTCTGGCAGTTTGCAGACCTTTGTGTTTTTGTTTAATTAGCCACTGCATGCTTGCTGGGTGCAGAGCTGTACCACAGACTCAGATGTGACCCTCAAACATATCCGGGATGTGCAAATCGTAGGGCCTCACTCATTTTTTTGGCTGCTTGGGGGGGGGGGGGGGGGAGCTTGATTTGGCAGCTCAGCATGTGCTTTTACTGAGCACCCAAGTGCTTCCATTTGTGAGGGTAACCTGAAGGAGCAAACTTTTTTTTTTTTTTTTTTTTTTTTTTTCCCTTTATTGGGGCCGGCACCTCATTTACTCACTCAGCAGATGTGCTTCTGCTGAGCATTAAAAGAGCCTGACACTCGCCTTTCCAAATGAGCACCCAAACTCAATTTCATTGCAAACTGTATCAACATTATGGCTGCCCTCAAAGGGCTGGCTATATCTGTAAGACGTCAAGAGCACCCCCCTTTGACATTTGATGTCAGGAACCCCCCCTTCCCACCATCAGAAGTCAGGTGTCCCATCCTCCTTTGTCACAGTGCACCCCCCCTTGCCTTGTGCTGCTGTCAGGAAGAAGCTGGGGGCGGAGCAGAAAGTTCAGGGTTTGGAGGAGGACCAGAGGAGGGCTGGAGTCAGCTGCCAGAGTCTGCTGAGAGCAGGGGAGGAAGAGATGAGGGGGTGTTGCAGCTGCACATACAGGAGCAGGATCTGTAGGAGGAGTTCTGTGGTCCTCTCTTCTGTCGACTGCTGAGACAAGGTGCAGACACGAGCCTCTGCATGGAAAAGTACAGGGCATGGCGGAGGAGTTCTGTTATCGTCTCTGCTACCAACTGCTGAGACAAGATTGAGCTGAAGATGAGGTGGGTTAGCAGCAGCTGCAGGAGAGGTGTGAGGACTACATGAAATGGCTCAGCAGGCCGGGCCGGAATTAGCCCACGGGCCTTGTCTTCGACACTTGTTCTAAGAGCCCAATCACACTTATATGAGCCATCATGTGACCCATCATGTGACTTTGGGGTCCAAAATTGCAGAACAAGTCGCACCCCATGTTTCTCAATGGATACCATTCATATCTGTGTGGCTTCAAAGTAGTTCCTGCACTACCTTGGTCTAACTTTCATGCGGCTTGAGGGCCATAGACTTCAATGTAAATCCTCCAAAGTAGCATGAACGTCACACCTGAATGTTGTACATGCGACTTTGTACAGCAGAAACAATCATCCTCGGTCAAAGCTGAAAGTCGCACTTGTCCAAAGTCGTGTCAAACTGGCATCAAGTCGCACTGTGAAGTCTCAGTGAAAATTGCACGATGTCGAAGTCGCACAAGTGTGAATGGACCCTTAAGGATCGGGTTCTTCTGTTACCTTTCAAGGCGTTCTATACTAGATCTGTGAGTGCCTCTTGGACCCCTCCGCATCAGGCTCTGGCACCCAGATCTGCTTCCTGGTCTTTTGCCCACGTGTTCTCCAAGTTGTATTGGATGGGTGTGAATGGAACCGCTTTCAGGCAGCTCTTTGAGTTGCATCTAGTCCCCCATTTTTTGGGGTATTTCATTTTTTTTTTTTTTTTTTTGTGGTTTCCCCACCGCTCAGTTGGGCTGCTTTTAAATGTGTTAATATTTTGTTTTCCTGTGTCCCTCAATAGACGAACAAAATAGGATATTTTCACTATAAAATCTTAATTCCTTCTCTGCCCAACATAGAGACTAACAATCTTTTGTCCATCTACATGCAGGATCCAGGTCATGCCCAATGGCTCTCTTGTTGTTTATCATGTGTCCAGCGAGGACTCTGGGAAATACACTTGCATTGCCGGCAACGCTTGTAACATCATGCACCGCGATACCTTCCTCTATGTCGTAGGTGAGTTTGGTTCACGTCGGTGTGGAGCCACCATCATCCATGCTGTAGGAAAGCTGAGTGGTGGCTTTGTACGATCTCTGTAGGAAAGGATTTTATAAAACACTTATATAGTCGTCAGCATGACGTTTTTTTTTAAAACATTACTCCACTTTTTTTTTTTTTTATTCTCAAATTATTATACAAGATTTATATATTATTATTATTATTCAGGATTTATATATTATTATTATACAGGATTTATTTTTTATTATTATTATTATTATTCAGGATTTATATATTTATTATTATTATTATTATTATTATTATTTCAGGATTTATATATTATTATTATTATACAGGATTTATATATTATTATTATAATACAGGATTTATATATTATTATTATATAGGATTTGTTATTATTATACAGGATTTATTATTATACAGGATTTATTTATTATTATTATTATTATACAGGATTTATATATTATACAGGATTTATATATTATTATTATTATTATTATACAGGATTTATATATTCTTATTATACAGGATTTATATTATTATTATTATTATTATTATTATTATTATACAGGATGTATATATTATTATTATACAGGATTTATATATTATTATTATTATACAGGATGTATATATTATTATTATACAGGATGTATATATTATTATTATACAGGATGTATATATTATTATTATACAGGATTTATATATTTATTATTATTATTATTATTCAGGATTTATATATTATTATTATTATTCAGGATTTATATATTATTATTATACAGGATTTATTTTTTATTATTATTATTATTCAGGATTTATATATTTATTATTATTATTATTATTATTCAGGATTTATATATTATTATTATACAGGATTTATATATTATTATTATATAGGATTTGTTATTATTATACAGGATTTATTATTATACAGGATTTATTTATTATTATTATTATACAGGATTTATATATTATACAGGATTTATATATTTATTATTATTATACAGGATTTATATATTATTATTATTATTATTATTATTATTATTATACAGGATGTATATATTATTATTATAATACAGGATGTATATATTTATTATTATACAGGATTTATATATTATTATACAGGATTTATATATATTATTATTATAATACAGGATTTATATATTATTATAATACAGGATTTATATATTATTATAATACAGGATTTATATATTATAATACAGGATTTATATATTATTATTATACAGGATTTATATATTATTATTATGATACAGGATTTATATATATATTATTATGATACAGGATTTATATATTATTATTATTATACAGGATTTATATATTATTATTATTACAGGATTTATATATTATTATTATTATTATTATACAGGATTTATATATTATTATTATTATTATTATTATACAGGATTTGTATATTATTATTATTATATACAGGATTTATTTATTATTATTATTATACAGGATTTATATATTATTATTATACAGGATTTATATAGCGCCAACAGTTTGCTCAGCGCTTTACAATTATAACCGTGATCTGAGATATGGTCAGTAAGTCATGTAGTTCCCACACCAAACCTTCACAGCACCCAAACCGTATAATTAGAGTGTTACTAAAGTCTGTAATCTGCCAACCCCCCCCCTCACTGTCAGTCAAGCATCTGATCCGCCAAGGGGGTGGAGCACACACATACCCTGACTGACACATTCTATTTTATTATTTTATTTTTTTAATGGCTGGAAGGGAGGGCATGTAGCAGTTAAAGTGCTATGCTTTAGCTCCACCCACTCCCGAGCCCTGCTGTACTGGAATGAGTTGCATCGTTTTAGCTGGCACGTGATACTGAGATCAGACACACAAAGAAGCTCTTGCTTTTTTACTGCTCCACCCCCTGGGCCATGCTGTCGGATGAGAAGAGCCATTTCCATGACCTCTAGTAAGCCTTGTAAAGTCACTTAAAGAGCAAGATTTTTCCGGCACTTTTTGTTTACATGTAACAATCTGAATTTTTTGCTAGAAAATGTATTAGAACCCCAAACGTGTGTGTATATATTTATTTCAGGTACTTATATAGCACTGTCAATGTACTCCACACTTTACATATATATTGTACATTCACATCAGTCCCTAACCCTCAAGGGTGTACAATCTAAGGTCCCTAACTCACATTCATACATACACATACTAGGGACAATTTAGACAGGAGCCAATTCACCTACCAGCATGTCTTTTGGAGTGTAGGAAGAAACCGGAGTACCCGGAGGAAACCCACGCAGGCACAGGGAGAACATG